CTTTCTTTCTCTGTCACTGACTCTTACTTTAGAGGATAGATAAGTTCCTTTCCTTGACTGTTTTTGATTGATTCAGTTGGCTGATTATATTTTCCTACTAATTTTCTTGTGTAAAGTTCTCGGAGGTTTCCTTTTGCTGCTGCCGTCTCCAATTTTCTTGTGTAAAGTTCTCGGAGGTTTCCTTTTGCTGCTGCCGTCTCCAATTTTCTTGTGTAAAGTTCTCGGAGGTTTCCTTTTGCTGCTGCCGTCTCCAATTTTCTTGTGTAAAGTTCTCGGAGGTTTCCTTTTGCTGCTGCCGTCTCCAATTTTCTTGTGTAAAGTTCTCGGAGGTTTCCTTTTGCTGTTTGCCGTCTCCGATTTTCTTGTGTAAAGTTTCTCGGAGGTTTCCTTTTGCTGCTGCCGTCTCCAATTTTCTTGTGTAAAGTTCTCGGAGGTTTCCTTTTGCTGCTGCCGTCTCCAATTTTCTTGTGTAAAGTTCTCGGAGGTTTCCTTTTGCTGCTGCCGTCTCCAATTTTCTTGTGTAAAGTTCTCGGAGGTTTCCTTTTGCTGCTGCCGTCTCCGATTTTCTTGTGTAAAGTTCTCTGATGTTTCCTTTTGCTGCTGCCGTCTCTCGATTTTCTTGTTGTAAAGTTCTCGGAGTTTTCCTTTTGCTGCTGCCGTCTCCGATTTTTCTTGTGTAAAGTTCTCGGAGGTTTCCTTTTGCTGCTGCCGTCTCCGATTTTCTTGTGTAAAGTTCTCGGAGGTTTCCTTTTGCTGCTGCCGTCTCCGATTTTCTTGTGTAAAGTTCTCGGAGGTTTCCTTTTGCTGCTGCCGTCTCCGATTTTCTTGTCTAAAGTTCTCGGAGGTTTCCTTTTGCTGCTGCCGTCTCCAATTTTCTTGTGTAAAGTTCTCGGAGGTTTCCTTTTGCTGCTGCCGTCTCCAATTTTCTTGTTGTGTAAGTTCTCGGAGGTTTCCTTTTGCTGCTGCCGTCTCCAATTTTCTTGTGTAAAGTTCTCGGAGGTTTCCTTTTGCTGCTGCCGTCTCCGATTTTCTTGTGTAAAGTTCTCTGATGTTTCCTTTTGCTGCTGCCGTCTCCGATTGTCTTGTGTAAAGTTCTCGGAGGTTTCCTTTTGCTGCTGCCGTCTCCGATTTTCTTGTGTAAAGTTCTCGGAGGTTTCCTTTTGCTGCTGCCGTCTCCGATTTTCTTGTGTAAAGTTCTCGGAGGTTTCCTTTTGCTGCTGCCGTCTCCGATTCTTTTGCTAGGACCAGAGAAGATGCTCGGAAATGTAAAAATTAAAAAAAACTATTGGTGCTTTCCGATTCAAACCTTTTTTTCTTTTCTTCTCGTCATCTCACTGATAACAAGTTGCAGCCCAGTGTCATGGTCTTCTGTATCTGTCTTGCACTTCTCAGGTGGCTTGGGTTATTGATTCTATCCTATATGTGTTCAATACAACTGCCGGCTTGCTAGGCAGTTTTATTATATATATATATATACACACACACATACAACACATACATACCTACACACACACCCTCCGCATACAATCATAATAATACTCTTATAAACATAGTAACTGTTGCTCCAACTCTTTTGTTCAGGGCATATGGGTGTGTTGGGGGAAAGAGGCGGGGGGAGGGGGGAACAGACGGGCAGACTGGCTTGTTTTGCACCACTTGGGGGTAAATTAAGCCATTTGGAAGCTATCTGGTGTGACCAGAGGGTTCGGCCGGCACACTTCACTCAGAGGAAAGGCAAGACGGGCATACATCCAGACTACGACTAGCACCGTTAGTATTGGAACTCTGCGCTGGCTGCTGAGGATGGGGACGGAGCGCGTATTTGAATACCCCGAGTGCTGTGATGTCAGTTTTTGACTCAACTCAACTTAAGCCATCTGGAAGTGAGTAAAAAGTGTGGAGACACATATAGATGGGGTTGGGTTGGGTTGGGAGGTGGGGGGTGATCGTGGGGTCAGGCCAACATTTAGGGGAAAGACAAAACGGAAGTACAATCACACTGATACTGGTGCCATCAGCACTGGAACTCTGCGCTGGCTGCTGATGATAGGGGCGGAGTTCTTATGGGAATTAACCGAGCGCTGTGATTATGGTTCTCGACTCATCTCACCTCCAGATGATTGCTCCGATTTCCCAGCTTCATTTATTTACGAAATTATATAGTCAGCCCTCAGCCCAGCCCTTTTTTAATTGCCTCTTAGGCTATGCTTGATAGATTCCAGTGTTACTTGTCTTTTCTTCCATTAATGGCTTCTGTAACACACACACACACACACATATATATATAATGTAATACATATCGTTTTACATTACCATATTGTGTTGTTTTCACGCCACTTGAGGCTCAAGTGGATTTCTTCATTCTGACCTATCCTAAGCATTTGTTTTCAATATTGTGTATGGAATTGTAGTCATCGTATTCTACTTCTTCCTCTTATCCCATTTCTTCTTCTTCTACATTCACCAATAAAAAGACGGTTTCACATTGTGGTGTGGTTTATAGCTAGGCTGAAAAATCTGTACCTTTTAGCCCAACACATCATACTTCAGTGAAACCTTATTAGGTGGCTTATACGACCTGCTTGTTGTGTGTGTGTGTGTGTGTGTGGGGGGGGGGGAGTGGGGGAAGTTGGTCTAATTCAATTTTCCTTCTAAAGTAGGGCCAAAGAACCCGCACAGGAATGCATGGCATCTAGTCCAACACCTCTGCCCTTTCTCATCAGTGTACATCTTTGAATGTCTTTTTGATGTCTTCTTTTCTTCAGGCCATTGCACCATCATCACCTAGCAGGTCCTTTGCAGAACGTCGCTCTCATCACGGACTTCCTGGAAGAAACTTGGTCTCTCGCTAGCTCTCCCGCTTCATGTACTTTCATATCCAAGGAGTCACATAAATCCTGTGCCCATCTTCGTGTCGGTCGATCCCTGCCCCTCCTTCCTGGTACCATATTATTGTTTCAGTCTGCCCTGGTGCTTAATATGGCTAAAATACTTCAGCTTCTGAGACAAGATGCTGTTTATTAGCCAGTCTTCCATTGCGCAGTTTACCAGAATGTGACAATTACCCACTTTTTTGCTTGTGGTTACCAAAACCAATTTGTTCCTTTGTTTGCAGGAGGTCACCAAACGATTGTCTCTGCCAGCAGACATCAGACTGCCGGAAAATTTCCTTGCTCGACAGACACTCTCACTCAGCCCTGATGGCCAACTCACCAGACGGTCCCGGCGGAAGTCTTTGGTTAGTGTTGATGTTGTGTCCAACTCCCTCAGTTATGCTTCAGTTCTCATGTTTAAATGGGGTCTCCATCACGATTTCATTCACACATTCTACTGTAGGTCACTTTGTAAACAAAGGGGTTCCCTAGTAAAACTGTGCTATACAATTGACAAAGGTTTTTAGGATTTGCTTCGGTCTGATTCTCATCCTTGAGGTGGTATTTCTATGGACAGCAATAGTGGAGAGGGCACAGCCTACCTGAGATCACCATGGCAAAGTGGTCAGTCAATTTGCCTTGGGTCATGAAGGTCATGGGTTCGCATTACATACCTGTCATTAAATTTATGTGTGCGCACTTTGATGGAGATCGCTGGAGATCAATTTTGGATCTATGGAGTTTGTGTGATGTTCTTGGCAGATGACTAGCTGTTGTGAGGCTAAAGACTGAGCTTCATGGGATAGCCTATTGCAATGTGGAGAGAACATCTGTTTTTCTCTTTGTTAAAGCAGAATCTGTATTTTGTTTCTAGACTTCTTCTGTGCTTTAATGACTATGTGTATATTCTTTAGAAAGCATGTGGGCTTCATCATTATCATCAATAATTTCAAAATTTGCCATTAAGTTATGTGAGGAGGACCAGTTCACGATCCACTGTTTGATGGCCATTTTCATTCCATATCAAGGCAGAAGGTCTTTAATGTCATCAGTTCATATTCTTCTTAGAAGACCTCTTGCTCTTTCATTCAGTCTTTTCATGTGCGGTGCCTGTGCTGGTGGTTATTGTGGCTGTATTCTAATGAGATAACCGAACAATTTTAACTTGTTTTTCAAAGAATTTGGTGCACAGTGTTGTTCCCACTGTCTATCTGATAGTATGATTTCTCACTTTTTCTTCTATGGTTATGCTGTCTGCTTATCTCAGGCATCTCATTTCACATATGAGTTTCATCACAAGACTATTCAGTAGAGACTATAGCAGTAGGAAGATCCTTATCTTCCCACAACATGGCCTCAGAACCCACATAGGTATAACCTTGTTTGACAACAGAGAGGACTGTAGCTTCATGATCACCAATGTCTGTCCCAAACCAGGCACCTGAAGAAACAGAAAAATGATGTTTATTTCTGACAAAGAATGAATGAATCAATCAAGAAATGACATCGGTGCACTTGAGATATTTCTGCACATGCTCCATCTCCTTCCTCAGTTGCCAGTGAAGAGTCAACTTGTTAACAGTACCAGTTGCAACCTGGTTAAAGGTTGGCCTCTGTTTCTCCTTCAGTGTTGAAGATCTTCTAGAACCTCAACTCACCCCTCATTGAATTGGTCTTTCAATGTTTGGTTTTCTGTCTGTTCTATTGCAGATTGGCGACTGGGTCGTCAGTTGGCTGGCTGGTAAACGACTTCATCACTAGTCAGCACAGTATTTGAGTCTGTCTTCTTCGATCGCATCAACACTGCAGTTCTTTTCAGAGTTACTTGGTGGCAAGCCATGCTAAACCATTTTATATGGCGTACATAAACTAGTCTCTGTTAAAACCTTAAGCTACCCCTTCATGGATGCTGGTTGAATGTGACAATTGTGCATTCTATTGCACTGTCCATTTGATTCCAGGGAGCCTTCAGCATGTACGCTTCATCATAAGGTAGCTCACCATCTAGAGGAGCGACAGCAGCCAGTAAATGAGCCTGCTCATTACTCCCCACCCCTATGTCCTCGACATAAAATCCACAATAAGCTCCAAATCAGAGTCTTATCAAGGGATGCAAGCCACTCTATGCACAGGACGCCAGTTTCAGTTTTCAAAGCATGCACTTTGGGTCCATTATAAGTATTTCAATAAGATCCATAAGAGGCCATTTTAAAGGGACCTATTTATTCCACTGCTTGGCACATGTTGAGTGACACAGTCAGCACCACAGTGGCCATCTTTGTTTTAAATGACATTTCTAGGTGCCTATTTTAGGCTCAGTCGAGTTGGGAACCCTAGACCAACTATAAAAACCCGCTTGAATGCATGTTCAATCGCAAGACCTTTGGGCTGGCATATGGCCACAGCGTTTCTATGGTGAATAATAAATGTTGAATAAAAGTTCATGCATTCTTGTTTTTCAGTTTTCTGGGTGGGAAAAGTTTGGTCGTGATGATCTGTGGTTGAGTATGGGAGAGGAAACTGAAGGGGGGGGGGGAATTGCCCTTTTCTGATGCAAGTAATCAGTACGCTTTAAGAGTTAATATCCTCTCAGACATTTTCATTCTTATTTTTATCTGTCTATGAGATAGATGAACAGCAGCCTGAAAGAGTGTACAAGCAAGACAAGAAATAGTGTTGGATGGAGATCCATTGCAGCCTACCTTCATTGTGTAGTCACCAGATTAATTGATTCTTTTTCTTTGTTTTCATCAGGTGTAAACTCCAGTGGAAAGTTCTGGTTCTTCATTCACTTCAGGACTCCAGTCCTATTCCAGAACCTGAGTGCTTCTTGCTTATCCGTTTTACACATCTGACTGATTTGTATGCAAACTGTCGGTTCCTTGCCGCTCAGGCAGATACACTCTGACTTTGAAAGAATCTCCCAATTAATAGGCGCTTTTGACATACCTTTGGGTTGGCAGTGGGCCTATTCTTTTTTTTTTTCTAACGGGACCTGGAACCTACGCCAGAAGATTGGTTTATTGATTGACAATTGATTGATTGATTGATTCAGTCATTTATTCATTCATTCATTGACTGATTGATTGATCGACTGTGTCATCAGCCTTCTACAAAACAACATTTCTGCAGCTCTATAAAATTTCAGACTAATGTAAAGGTTGTTTATGATTTGCTTCTGCATGTCATTATTGACCTCTTGTCATCAACATCATCATATTGTGCCATTACACATCACATGTAGCCTGCAATGTATTCTCCCATTTCCTGCAGTTTCTCTTTTTCTTTATCCACATGGTGTGTGTAGCATTGTCAGTTTCTTTATTTTATAACTTTTGATACTATTTGTTGGCAAAAAATAGCTTTACAGAAACTCTCTTTTTCAATTATTTATTAAGTATTATAATTCTTTTCTTTTTTTCCCACTACAGTCTGAAATTGGATTTGGCAAAATGGAGTCATACACAAAGTTGGATAAACTGGGAGAGGTAATTTTTTTTCTATTAGTAAAAGCTACAAGATACTATAGGCAGTACGGCTATACAGGCTAAAACCATACGTCAAAGATATATTGGGTGATTACCAAGCAGGTTTCTGACAGAAAAGATCAACAATAGATCCGATTTTCATTTTAACAACAAATAGCAAAGCAAAACCTGGAATATAGACGAGAAGTACATAACGTTTTTGTGGATTTTAAAAAGGCATTTGATAGTGAACATAGAAACAGTTTATGGAAGGCTATGAATGACTTTGGAATACCAAAGAAGTTAATCACTGACCAAACTATGTATGGAAGACACTTATAATATAAAGCAATGTTTCCCCGATGTGAATTTGAACAAAGAAGACACAAACAATAGACTGCACAATTTATTGCCTGGCATATTTCGCTGTATCTCGTCAGGTGCATACTACAGTAACAAGTGAATAAATGAAGCAAATAGCTGAATCCTAAAAACTGAAACACAAATTCGAGTACATTCTACACTGTCTGTTTCACCAAGGTAACCTTAAGGAAACTACCATTTCTTTCTGCCTACAGAGATCCGGTTTTAACCGGTGGATCGCGGACGCTTCCGCGTATCTGAGTAATCTACGGTTGGCCGATGTGTAAATAATTCGAAATGTATCATCCCTGTTAATGATGTACCCGGAATTTAGAATGTGGCACGCAATTGCTGATGATGGATTTTGTCGACCAGTCACCTGATTCGTTGTTGTTGAGGTGTTAGTGTTTTGCATTGCTTTTACCAACCATAGTGGAATATGTTCAGCAACCCGTTTCTCCAGTCGTCGATCGGTTCTGCCCACATATGCAGCGTTACAGGTGCATTTAAATTGGTATAAACAGTTAGATCTGGCGTACGTCGAGACTGGTTCTTTTACAGGTGGCGTAGGAATCGTGGTGGTTTTGAATCTCATAACGGGCATGGCTGCGTAAAAGGTTTGACCGACTGCTGTTTTGAGTCGGTCATATACACGTTGCATGACGTCATCTCCCCGAAACGTTAGATGAAAGTAGCAACACCTTGGCCTTTTTAGACATTTTAATGAGACGTAGAGATAATGGCACTATTGAAAGGTCAGTTTATCGTAAAGACACTTGGACAGGCCAGTACATCCATTTCAACAGTTTTGCACCTTTGCAGTACAAACGTGGTCTAGTGAGGACATTATTCCACCGTGCTAGAAAGATTTGTTCCAGCGAAACTCTACAAGCTGAATTCGAAACGATTAAACAAAACACTGCTTTCTAATGGATATCCAGGTGGTTTTATTAAGTGCCATTGCCAGCCACCTAAACCAGTTACCTTAGAAATGTCGGTGCCAAAAAAAAAACAAGTTTATATACATCTAACGTTTCGGGGAGATGACGTCATGCAACGTGTATATGACCGACTCAAAACAGCAGTCGGTCAAACCTTTTACGCAGCCATGCCCGTTATGAGATTCAAAAACCACCACGATTCCTACGCCACCTGTAAAAGAACCAGTCTCGACGTACGCCAGATCTAACTGTTTATACCAATTTAAATGCACCTGTAACGCTGCATATGTGGGCAGAACCGATCGACGACTGGAGAAACGGGTTGCTGAACATATTCCACTATGGTTGGTAAAAGCAATGCAAAACACTAACACCTCAACAACAACGAATCAGGTGACTGGTCGACAAAATCCATCATCAGCAATTGCGTGCCACATTCTAAATTCCGGGTACATCATTAACAGGGATGATACATTTCGAATTATTTACACATCGGCCAACCGTAGATTACTCAGATACGCGGAAGCGTCCGCGATCCACCGGTTAAAACCGGATCTCTGTAGGCAGAAAGAAATGGTAGTTTCCTTAAGGTTACCTTGGTGAAACAGACAGTGTAGAATGTACTCGAATTTGTGTTTCAGTTTTTAGGATTCAGCTATTTGCTTCATTTATTCACTTGTTACTGTAGTATGCACCTGACGAGATACAGCGAAATATGCCAGGCAATAAATTGTGCAGTCTATTGTTTGTGTCTTCTTTGTTCAAACTTATAATATAGTAACATATAAAGGCAGAAAAGTCAGTCCCTTTTCAAATAACATCTGGTTTAAAGCAAACTGATGCTCTGTCTTCACATTTTTCAACTTGTCTCTGGAGAAAATTAGAAAGAAATTGAAACAGGAGTGCACTTAAGGAGAATCTTGCTTATGCAGAGTAAACTGAAATCACTGGAGAAGATGAACTAGAGACTGTAAAAACACTGACTCATAAAAGAAGCAGGTTACAAATGGGACTAGTTATCAATCAAGATATGACAGAATGCATAATAACAAAATTGGGAAGGGATATAAACTTTGACTACATACTAGTAGATATAATAGGAACATCAAACAAATGAAAACCTATAAATACTTGACTGCAAACTTCAACTATCTCACAACACCAAGATCAAAATATATAAAACGTTGATAAGACCAGTCGTTTTATATGGCTCTGAAACTTGGAGCACAACTAAAAGAGATGATAAAGTTTACTGCTAGGCACAAGGGCACTTTGTACATTAAGTTGTTGTTTACTGCTAGGCACAAGGGCACTTGGTACATTAAGTTGTTGTTTACTGTTAGACACAAAGGCACTTGGTATGTTATGTTGTTGTTTACTGTTAGCCACAAGGGCACTTGGTACGTTATGTTGTTGTTCACTGTTAGGCACAAGGGCACTTGGTACGTTATATTGGGGTTTACTGTTAGCCACAAGGGTACTTGGCACGCTAAGTTGTTGTTTACTGCTAGGCTGCACCTTTCCACCGAAAACCTCAGGTTTCAGCAAACTCAAAATTATTTGCCTTTACAATATTCTTGCTAGGGTGCAGTGGGTCCGTCCATTTTTTTCCTAACATGGGGCTCCTGATCCCACACAGTAAATACTGATATCTGTTAACTCTTCAAGTCCCAAGGAAGGCATCATACATTTATAGGTTCCTACCTAGAAGCCCAATGAACACAAGATGCGACGATTTTACATCTCTCTTGACTACCCCTTGGGCCTGTGATATTAAACCCCATGGGACTCAAAGAGTTAAGCCTCAGTGCATGAACAATAGTCCTTTACTGCCACCACTCATCATGTTTTAATCCACTAACTTCTCCAGGGAACATATGCTACAGTATTCAAAGGCAAGTCTCGACTCACAGACAGTTTGGTAGCCCTTAAAGAGATACGACTGGAGCATGAAGAAGGTGCACCCTGTACAGCCATTAGAGAAGGTAAAGTTTGTTACACACTCAAGTGTGTAGAAGATTTAATTAATGGTAAAATTTGGGGACGGGGGCAGGGGGGTCAGAGCAGGTCTGACAAGTTATTTTAATGCTAAGTCTTTGGAGACTTCTTGCTAGAATGTAACTGGGGATCGTAGAGACCTCAAGGACATTCTTGATGGTGAAATACAGAAAGATAGATAATAGATATTGATATTATGGTACAAAAAATAGTCAGAGAGTTGACATAAATGATACAACTAAGATACATTTTTGGGATCAGGATGCCAAGGACATTTAACAACATGGATGAGAAGAAATCTGGAAAGGAATAAGGACAAAGGAGTATATTTAAAAGAAAAGGTATTGTCGGGAGATGAGAACCAGCGTTATTGCACACGGTTATAAACCATAGGTGCTCTGCCACCAGTACAGATAGCTAAGAAACTGTCTGCCTGTGTCACCATCCGCACGCAACTCCGTAGCTACAGCGACATTCCTCCGTTTACCCCAGAGTGTCACTCTGGTACCCATTACCTAGAGGCTTGGTGAACCCCGGGAACTCTTATGGTTCGAACACCATCCATGAGCTGCAGAGAGTCGCAGCTGATTTTGAAAGTGAGTCTCTTATTTACTGCACAAATGCAGTGTAAATTATTGCAGGTAAGTGAGGAACTGAGTGTTTGAGCAGAAACATGAAATGCAGTGACAACAGTGGTTATAGAGACCCTTGCACGTTTTTTTCTATTGAAGACTTTTCTTAGTGTGAGCTGGTTTTGCTAGTCACACTCGCCAAAGCTGGCCCAGCTAGAAGTGATGTTATCAATGCCATGCGCTGCACGTACCTTACTGAGGAGCACGCCAAAGGACATGACTCCATATCCCTGTCTAGACTGATGGACATGGGGGTGCAGCCTGGAGCTGCAAGACATGACCATTTCACTAAGGGGACAAGACGTTTCATTAACCAACACAGAACAGTCGTCATCAGTCGTTTTACACTAGTGGAGTTTTTGAGGGGAGATCGGAGCACCTATGGATCTGTCTGGAATGCTGTGATGATAATCCTTTCTAATCAGTAATCACTAATCACTCCTCAAAGCCATGAGTTGTGATTTCCAATGCTCCGTATTCCTCCAAGTAACACCATCATCTGGAAAGATTGAAAGATGCCTGTGTGGTGACACTTTTTGGAATTCTAGCTGTTTGGAAATGATTAAATACTTTTTGTTTCTTTCAGCAAGGCTTTAACTCTTTTTTTAGCAGGCAGGTGTTACTTTAACTTGATCTGTTCTTAAAAGTAGTTTTTTTTAAAGTCCATGCCGTGTGGCGTTGGTAGTCATGTCTATACACAACCTTCGGTCTTGTATATTTTAGATAAACTCTGACACAGATGATCTTCCATGCCGTGTGGCGTTGGTAGTCATGTCTATACACAACCTTCTGTCTTGTGTATTTTAGATAAACTCTGACACAGAAGATCTTCCATGCCGTGTGGCGTTGGTAGTCATGTCTATACACAACCTTCTGTCTTGTGTATTTTAGATAAACTCTGACACAGAAGATCTTCCATGCGATGATGTCACACTGTCCAGTATCTTCTCTCTGTCTGCTTCTTTTTTCCTTCCATCTTTCCCACCATTATGATGTACTCAAGTTTTGTTCTTCTCATGATTCGACCAGAGAATATAGACTGTCTCCTTCTCATGATTTGACCAAAAAATATAGACTGTCTCCTTCTCATGATTCAACCAAAGAATATAGACTGTCTCCTTCTCATGATTTGACCAAAGAATATAGACTGTCTCCTTCTCATGATTTGACCAAAGTCTGTCGATTTTTCCACAAGGGACTGTGATCAACATTCTGTGTGTTTTTCGTTGGCACAGGAGCGGAGCAACGATGGAGTGACCCGTTTGCTATGAAGCTGAAACTAAGACTAACAGTCTTGTTATCCATCCAGAGTGTTCTCATCATTCACCGTTAAAGCCATGTTTCCCCACGTCCACATAATTTTTCACTGATCGTCCAATTGTCCATGATTCACTTCCATGTGTCAAGATAAGATTGATATAACTCTTGAGAATTCTCTTTCCTACTTCAATAGACAAAGAAGGAATGTTGCTTCTATAAACAGAGGTGATTTATATGACTTGACCAACTGGAATGTTGCTTTTATAAACAGAGGTGATTTATATGACTTGACCAACTGGAATGTTGCTTCTATAAACAGAGGTGATTTATATGACTTGACCAACTGGAATGTTGCTTCTATAAACAGAGGTGATTTATATGACTTGACCAACTGGAATGTTGCTTCTATAAACAGAGGTGATTTATATGACTTGACCAACTGGAATGTTGCTTCTATAAAACAGAGGTGATTTATATGACTTTGACCAAACTGGAATGTTGCTTCTATAAACAGAGGTGATTTATATGACTTGACCAACTGGAATGTTGCTTTTATAAACAGAGGTGATTTATATGACTTGACCAACTGGAATGTTGCTTTTATAAACAGAGGTGATTTATATGACTTGACCAACTGGAATGTTGCTTTTATAAACAGAGGTGATTTATATGACTTGACCAACTGGAATGTTGCTTCTATAAACAGAGGTGATTTATATGACTTGACCAACTGGAATGTTGCTTCTATAAACAGAGGTGATTTATATGACTTGACCAACTGGAATGTTGCTTTTATAAACAGAGGTGATTTATATGAACTTGACCAAACTGGAATGTTGCTTTTATAAACAGAGGTGATTTATATGAACTGACCAACTGGAATGTTGCTTTTATAAACAGAGGTGATTTATATGAACTGACCAACTAGAATGTTGCTTCTATAAACAGAGGTGATTTATATGAACTGACCAACTGGAATGTTGCTTTTATAAACAGAGGTGATTTATATGAACTGACCAACTGGAATGTTGCTTCTATAAACAGAGGTGATTTATATGAACTGACCAACTGGAATGTTGCTTCTATAAACAGAGGTGATTTATATAACTTGACCAACTGGAATGTGCTTCTATAAAACAGAGGTGATTTATATGACTTGACCAATTGGAATGTTGCTTCGAAAAACAGAGGTGATTTATATGACTTGACCAACTGGAATGTTGCTTCTATAAACAGAGGTGATTTATATGACTTGACCAACTGGAATGTTGCTTCGATAAACAGAGGTGATTTATATGAAATGACCAACTGAAATGTTGCTTCTATAAACAGAGGTGATTTATAATCAAACTGCTGGTAGCACCATTGGCATTGAAACTCTGTACTGGCTGCTGAAGATGGGGACAGAGTGCTTATGGAAGTGTCATGAGTTCTTTGATGTCAGTTATCAGCTCACTGCTTAATTCAGCTCAACAGAAGTTGTAGATTTGCACTGCAAGTAAGGTGCAGAACAAAGTAGACCAGGCATGTGAAACTGAAAAGTGTTTGGTGGCCATATTTTTAAATATTTTACTCTCAAGAAATGCAGGATGTGTTACTGTCTCTTCACCTTGAATTCCTGTTATCACATGATGTTATCACATGATGTTATCACATGATGTTATCACATGATGTTATTACATGATTTTAAGTTATTAGATCAATAAATTAGAAACAGTGGGGGTTTTTTTTGTTGGGGGGAGGGGGGGTTGGTGGTAAAATGTGTTTCACAATATTTTTTTTCCAGTGATATAGATTAAAACAAATAGACATACTGTTTTTTTTGGGTAAAATATGTTTAACTTGAGCGTATAATAGTAAACAAAAATTGTCTCAGTGTAAATTAGTCAAATATGTTTAACTTTAATGAACATGTTTGTTACATGTTTATCTCAACAGTCTCATTGCTACGTGACCTGAAACATGCCAACATAGTTACACTACATGATATCATTCACACAGACAAGTCCCTAACTTTAGTCTTTGAATATTTGGTAGGTACCACATTGTTCTGCTGTCCAAGTCTTTTGTAACTTGATTTGTCATTTGATCAGGATTACTCTCTTGTATTTATTTTAGAAGACTGGATTCACCCCCATTAAAAACTTTTTGGTGACATGAATTAAGTGATGTCTATGAATTTACAAAATAACCAAACTGCCAGAACAACTAATCAAAAGACATGAAGCCAGTAAAAAGTGTTATTAGGGAAGGCTTAACTCTTTGAGTCCCAAGGAACGCATCATACATTCATAGATGCCTACTTAGAAGCCCAATGAACGCATGATGTGCCGATTTTACGTCTCTCTTGACTACCCCTTGGGCCTGTGATGCTAAACCTGCTGGGACTCAAAGAGTTAAATAAGTTTTGTTGTCTGTTGAATTGAGCGGAGTTCAAAACTGACATCAGATCAGTCAGTACATTTCCATAAACAATCCATCCTCAGCTTCAGCAGCTAGAGTATCATTCCAATTCCATTGGTTCCAGTAGCAGTCTGATTCTATGTCCATCTTGCCCTTCCTATAAGTGGTGAGTGTGGGTTCGATACCCTGCTCACTCCCCTCTGCACGCACCATTCTCTTCAAACTGTGATATCTGTTTTGCTTTGGCACTGTTCACTCACTCCCCTCTGCATGCACCATTCTCTTCAAACTGTGATATCTGTTTTGCTTCGGCACTGTTCACTCACTCCCAAAGGGTCTTGAAAAGCTCTAGCTTATTATGCATCAATTTAGCACCAAGTAGTGCAGAGCCAGCCAAGCTTTCTGCCTGTTCATTTTCCAACAAACTTTGCCTACCCTGGAGAAAATTTCCCTAGGACACTAACCAAGGGTTTTTTCTGGCAGTACACAATAGTTAGTCCCTGTCTCTACCTTTATCTGTCACACCCTACCTGTCATATCTGTCTTCTCTTTTCTTCACATTGTTAGCTAAATATATATCTAATAGTTCAACTCAGAACTGGTGTCATCAGTAGCTACCCATTCAGGGATATACTGAAGAAGGAATTTCAAAATTGAGTGGACTCTTATTAAATGGTTCAATGTACAAGTAGCATGCATTGTTGACTAACCCAGTACATAGTTTAAACAAAAAAATTAATTCAGTATTGATTTGAACTCAGGACCATTGAGATGGCCAGTAAGTATTTAGCCACTGGGAACAGATAGAGTGTAACTATAGATTTAAAAAAAAAATATGTTTAGTATGATGGGTAGGAAAGACAGGATAAAAGGTCAAAGCAGACAGCAGATTGGCACAGTATCAATGTTTAACTTGATAAAAACTGCAACATGTGAAATGGTTAAGCCACATACTATGACTACCTGACAGTTTTCCACAGCACTCACTATAATTGAAGTAGAGTATTGCTTTGGCAAAATAAATGGATTATTTTTACTGAACAGGAAAAAGGTACTTTTATCTGCAAGGTATTTGCTACAGTTTCTCAAAAAGTGTTTGATATAAATTAGGGCTGTACCGAATATTCGGTTCGTATTCGCTTTGGGGCCGAATAGTTGACCTAATAGCTATTCGGTATTCGGCCGAATAGTGGCGGTCGGGCCGAATACGAATAGTGATTTCTGCATACACTGCGATGGACTGAAATAACTCTCTCATTAATAATGTCACAATTTATAGCCGACTTTTCTTGATTTTCGCTGCGGCACCCCTGTCATACGCACCCAGTTTTAGAACCTCTGCTGTAATGCCTCAGAGGAGTCAGCAGGCGCTGTTACCACACAACCGGGTCGCAGTATTTCCCGCTACGACAGATTTAGGCAATGCTACTGTTGTGTTAAAGAAGGCATGAAGAAACTTGAAAGTGTATCTGTGTGTGTGAGAGAGAGAGAGAGAGCATGCATTTTTTCGTTCTTTCGGGGTGTCTTTGCCCAAATCAAATTGAAGATATTGCGAACGAGAATATGAAGGTGCATTTAAATTACATCGAACGAACGCCTGAACGAACGATGATTTAAATGCGAATTTGGCACATGGATAAAATCAGATGAAAGATGCATTACTAAAATAAAAAACAAAATAGGACAGGCAAAAACTGCATTTTATTTAAAAAAAACATCTTATTCAATATATCTTTGTCTTGCTTGCTACATGCATCCAGTTGTAACATATGGCTATGAGTCCTGGACAATCGGTAGCCAGGCCAAACAATTTTTTGAGGCCTCAGAGATGTGGTTTTACAGAACAATGCTTAAAATACCTTGGACAGCCTAAAAAAAGCACCCACTAGGTTTTGAAAGAGGCGGGAGCCCGAAGACAACTAATCACAGACATCAGAAGAGAAAGTCATCATTTTTCGGCCATCTTATAAGAAGAGTGAAAATGGAACATGTGGTGACCACTGGAAAGATTTGTGGAAGGAGAGATAGAAAAAGACAACGAGAGAAGATTCTTGACAGTCTTGTTGCATGTCATGGTGGTGTGTCAGCACACGAACTGATACATGCTGCAGGAGATAGCAGATTGTGGCGAGGTAAAATCTCCAACACCAGTCGGCAAGCACCTGATGATGATGATACACTATTCGTATTCGTCCGAATAGTTGGTCCCACTATTCGTATTCGCCCGAATCGTGAAAATCACTATTCGGTACAGCCCTATTATACATACACTTAGAGGCCAATATAAAGAAACAGTAACAGCAGAAAGAAGAGAATAAAAAACAATGAAAGAAAGGTAAAGAGAAGGAAACAGTGGAAAGGGAAAGGGAAGATAGAGGGAAGAAAGGAAGAAGAATAGAAAAAGAAGAGAAAGAATAAGAAGGAAATGAAGAAATGAAGAAAAAAAAGAAAGAAAGAAAACATGATGAGGAAGCAGAAAGAGAATGAGACTGAAGAAAGATATAGAAAATGAGAATATTCTGGATTATGTTGAGAGGGAGATAGAAGGAAACGGTTAAGATGAAGGAGGAATACAGGGAGGAATACAAGAATAAGACAGTGGTATGACAGAGGAGGAAGAGGAGGAGGAGGCTGAAGACCTATAGCAATCAATGTATATCTTCCTAGCACATCTAATCATTTATGCATCACAAATATACTTTATGAATGTCCACACATGGATTGGGAGCCAGGTAACAGAAAGCAAGTCATGTTTTTATTTTCATGTAAATTGTTTTGTTACAGGAGAAGGATCTGAAACAATATATGGATGACTGTGGAAATATTATGAGTATGACAAATGTGAAGGTAGGATTCAGTTTTTTTTAACTTCATTAAACAATGTAACTACAATTGTTTTGATCAACGAATAAATGGGATGGAGGAAAGAACAAACAAATATACAAACAAATTTATTACATTTGGGCATGCAGACCTGTCTAACATTCTGTCTGCCTTTCTGACATCACTCCTTTCATGAAAATGTTGAGAGGGAAATATGAGCGCCTATGGATATGTCCGGATTGCTGTGAAGATAATCTAACTCATAACTCCTTTCATACTCTGTTTCATTCAATCCTCTTTTCACAGATAATGGTAAAATACATCAACAACAACTAAGATCATCTACAAACACTGTAATGTGCTTGAATCATCCATACATTTCTAAATAATGTTTCTTAGTATAACTGTAGTTGGCTCTGTGGCTAAGTCGATGTGAATGCTTCATAATGCCGGGATGCCTGGTTCGATCCCAGCTGCGGGCCATGCTCCTTGCAATGGTTTCAACAGTGGTATCACTGGGCCGACCGTTCAGAAAGCAATGGCAAACTACTGGACGTAAATTTGCCCAGAGAAACCACACAACAGCCAAGGCTGCTGTTGTTGGTTCTGCAACATCCTGTAAAGGATACGCAACTAACCTTTAGTATAACTGTAACAATTCTGAGATCGTGTATTTTTTCCACTAGCAATTTAAAAATGTGAGACTTGGACTCAGTCATTGAAAAAAATTTAAAAATCCAAGGTTTTGAATTGACATTTTACAGACCAAATTCTTAAAAAAACATGGACGAAGAAAAATTAAAAACACAGATTTGAGTATGGAGAAAAACTGGTTCATAAACAGCATTGTGCTCCAAAAGCTGAGGTATTTTGGTTAGTTAAAATGTCATGGTGTCATTGGAGGGGGGGGAAGGGGAGGAAGAAAAAGTGATGGAGGTTACGGTTTCCAGAAAATGAGGCAGAAGTTGACCACTGAGAAGGTGGTTACAAGACGCTGAAAATGTATTGGCTATGAAAAGCATATAGGGCTGGAGAATTGGCTAGAGAAAGACAGACTTTCAGGAAAGCTGTGATAATACCAGTGTAAATAACCTACTGATTAATGATGATGATAATTGTAATAATTATAGGCAAATTATTCCTTGTATTATCCTTGTATTATCTTGTAGTTATTATCACAGACAAATAGTCTGTGAGCTTTATATGATACTTAAATGGCAGCACAGGATGATGAAGAGGAAGGTATCAAGAAACAAAGGAAACTTTAAAAATAAAAATGTTATGAAGGGATATTACTGGAACAATTAAATTTAACTACAACCCAAAGGCAATATCTGTCCACACAGGCCTGACATTAGTAATTATGTCATTGCTGCCCGTTTTTGCCACTTGTGTTGTCTAAGCAGGGGCGTCTTTAGGTGTGAGGATTTAGGGTCGCATGGCTAGTGCTGTAGTCATGAACTGTGCCGGTCAGATTTTTTTTCACTCCCCGACAGAAAAAAAAGTCCTGAACATTAATGAGAATTTAAACATGGGTTGGCACATGAGAGCTCAGTGATGTTAATTGATCAGCCAGCCACTCCCCAGTAATTATGCACCATTAATTTATTGACAGTAAATTTATGGTATCACAATGAAGCTACGATGTCAGTCAAGCTACGATATCACAATGAATCCATGGTATCACAATGAATCTAGGGTATCACAATTAAGCTACGGTTTCACAATGAAGCCATGTTATCACAATGAAGCTATGGTATCAAAATGAAACCATGTTATCACAATGAAGCTACAGTAACACAATGAAGCTACGGTATCACAATGAAGCCATGGTATCACAATGAAGCTGCGGTATCATGATGAAGCCATGATATCACAATGAAACTACTTTATCACAATGAAGCAACGGTATCACAATGAAGCTACCGTATCACAATGAAGCTGTGGTATCACAATGAAGCTGCGGTATCACGATGAAGCCATAATATCACAATGAAACTACGGTATCACAATGAAACTACGGTTTCACAATGAAGCTATGGTATCACAATGAAGCTACGGTATCACAATGAAGCTATGGTATCACAATGAAGACATGGTATCACAATGAAGCTACGGTATCACAATGAAACTACTGTATCACAATGAAGCTATGGTATCACAATGAAGCTACAGTATCACAATGAAGCCACGGCATCACAATGAAGCTATGGTGTCACAGTTTATAAAATAACCTTTGCTCCCATCTGATCCAGCTGTCACTGCTGCCTTCTGCTGGACTGAAAATCAGCTGCACGCACATGTTGTACTTGTAACTGACTCACAGAGTATGTTGAAGATGGTGGAGACAGGCATGCTCCGTGCAGAGTGGCAAGCATGGCTTTGGAGGTCCAGGGTAGTTAGCGTCCTTTGGATATTTTCTCCAGGTTATACCGGTGTGTTGAGAAGCAAGCAGGCAGATAGACTAGCCGGTTTTGCTTCACTTGGTGGTGAATTGATATCTGACAAGCTAGATATTGTGAGCGCCCTTTGGGAGCAAGTGAACAGTGAGTAGGCACAAATAGATCATTATGGTCCAATAAAAATGGCGCTGTGAGAATTTACCAGGGGATATGGCTGACGATCAACACTCAAGGGAAAGGCTAGACAGATGTACAATCAGACTGTTACTGGTGCCATCAGAATTGGAACTCTTCGCCTGCTGCTGAAAATGAGGAGGGAACGCTTATGGGAGTATCCCAAGTGCTATGATGTCAATTCTTAATTCAACATTCAACATTCATATCCAGCTTAAAGTGGGTCCCAGAAAATTTCTTGAATTGCCCCGTTGATTTATAAAACTATGGGACAAGCACTTTATCCTGTATGTGCTGCTGATGTAAACAGCGTCAGTGACTTTCTTCTTCTTCTTCTTAAAGTCCATGCCATCTGGCGCTTGTAGTCATGTCTATCCACAACCTTCTGTCACATGTACTTTCAGTCACCTCTGACACCGATGATCTTCCATGCCATGATGTCAGACTGTCCAGCTTCTTATCTCTTGGTCTCTCTCTGCCTCTCCTCCCCTCCAACTTTCCTACTGTCACGATGTACTTCTGTTTTCTCCTTCTCATCACATGACCAAAGAATGTCGATTGTCTCTTTCTGATGTGATCAATCAGTTCTCTTTGTGAGTCAGTTTCTTTCAAGATATTCTCATTACTAATTTTATGTCCAGAGAATTCTCATCATCCATTTATAAAACCACATCACTGCAACTTCCAAATAAGTTTTCACTAATTTACCAACTGTCCATGATTCACTTCCATATATCAAGATATGATTTATATAGCTTTTAAGAATTCTCTTTCCCGTCTCAATTGACAAAGAAAGATTACGTAAAATGTTCTTCATTTTGTAAAATGCTGCCTTTGTTTGGGCTATTCTACATTTAACTTCTTTAATTCATCTTCCATGTGATGTTGTCATGGTACCCAAGTACTTAAACATATCAACTTGCTTGAGCTATTCTACATTTAACTTCTTTAACACATCATCCATCTGATGTTATCATTGACTTTACTTACTATCAAATACATAGAAAAAAAATTTGCCCTGCTTCTCATTCCCAAGAAACATAAATGGTGGGTAAAATATTAGTTATATTTCCCCATACAAGGGAAATCCACAGGTCACTGGACAGTCTAATATTTCAGGGGGTGGTAGATAGGCTGCATGCAGTTGTGGGTTTTAGGCTGCACTCTCTCGCGTAGGTGGGTTGGAGTTAGAGCCAGTTCTAGATGTTTTGGGGTCGTTAAAAAGCATCAGAAAGCCAGGAAACCCAGTGTTACCACCCTCTAAAATATTGGACTGTCCTGTGACGTCATCTGGGGTAGGATTTTAATAAGAAATCAAATATTATGCTTGCAGTCTGTGGTAGTGCAGCAGCTAGATGCTTTGCTTGTTGGTCTGAAGGTTCAAATCCACGTCGAGTGGTTTTTTTTTTTTTTTTTTTCATAACTGACCTTGGCTTCCAGGTTGACCCTGCCTAAAATGACCACTAGGAAATATCCTGGAAAGTAAAGGCAATTGGCATGATGTTGACCTCACCTACCAGGTGATGTGTCCATAAAAATATGAATCTTACATTATATGCCTGATGTGCCATAGGTATAAATGGGTCCTTAACTATTTTAGCCACAGGTGATTTGGCAGCATTGATTTCGACAATGGTAGGGAGTGCCATCCGCTGTGTAAGCAATGGCAAAATACTGGACATGAAATTGCTGAGTAAATCTAATCACCTGGAGTTGGAAATGCTGAAGTTAGTTCTTCAACATCCTATAAAGAAAATGGAACTAATTTTTTTTTTTACACTGCTTTCATTATTTACATTGAGAGAAACAATAAAGCATAAATAACATTCTTTTTTCTTTTCATTACAGCTGTTTTTATTTCAACTACTTCGAGGTCTAGCATACTGTCACAAAAGGCGAGTCCTTCATCGAGATCTCAAGCCACAAAATCTTCTCATTAATGAAAGAGGAGAGCTCAAACTAGCTGATTTTGGTAGGTGTTTTGTCTAGTTTAACAATATCTGACAGCAGAATTCCTAGTCCGCTACATGTAGAATTAATGAATGGTAGTTTTCTAAGTTAACGAATTCAAATATCCAGGAAGTATATTCTCGGAAGACGGGAGAATAGATTGGGAAACAAAAACAAGATGCCAATGAGCTGGTGCACTTATATACCAACCGACACCATTATTAAGACATGCAAACATAAGTATGAGCACCAAGAAACAGATTATAAACAGCATATTCATACCAACACTGTGCTACCAATGCCGACTTGGGCATTATCACAGGCTAACCTATTATGAGAAGATGGAAAATAGAACATGTTGTGACCACTGGAAAGATCTATGAAAGAAGGGATAGAGTAAGACAACGAGAGAAGATGCTTGACAGTCTTGTTGCATTGCATGGAGGTGTGTCGGCACATGAACTGACATGCTGCAGGAGATCACAGATTGTGGTGAGGCTTGATCACCCACGCCAGTTGGCAAGGCACCTGATGATGATGATGATTAACCTACAAAAAATTAACACATGTGAAATAAAATGCCAGAGAAAAGCCACCAACTTAACCATCTGAGACAAAGTTAGAAGTGATATTATGAGACAGACTGTAGCAACAATACCAGGCAGCAAATTCATTGAGAAACAGAAGATAAAATGATTTGGTTATTTAGTAGGAATGCAGCCAGAACAATGACAGCGCAGGCCCTACACATGAAAAGATCTGAAGTGAAAGCAAGAGGCTGCTCTGTGAAAAAATTGAATGATAAAATTAAAGAATTTCTAGGTCATCATGGAGTGACAATAACCAATGCTGCTCATCAAGCAATGGATCGCAAACTGTTCCTCCCTATGTCACTTAAAGGCAGAAATGGAAATTGATGATGATAATAAATAATATATGATTGTGCTACTGATGTTAGTAGTCATAATTCAAACAACAATATCCTGTTCTACCCAACTGAGCTATAATTGGGATAAGTATTGTTCTTTTTTTCTTTTCTATTTCAGCATTGAATTTTTATTCCTACTGTTACTTTTGGTTCTTACTGTTACTTTTGGTTCTTTGATACTGCATAGATTATGCATTAATTTCAACAGTGTGTATGAGTACTGATTTTTTTAAAAATATATTTTAATTTTAATTTGTTTTAATAATTGTTATAATCATTTGAATTAATCTGCCTTTATGAATATTTAAAAAGATCTGTAATACCGTTATTCTGTCTCATCATCATCATCATGATCAAGTGCCTTGCCAGCTGACGTAGACGTTCATGAGTCTCCACAGATCTCGCTGTTTGGTGTTCTGGATCAATTCCACTGATGATATTCCTCCATGCCACCATCTTAAGCCATCGACCATCGTTTCCCTTGGTCTGTCTCTGTCTCTTCTACCAGTGATCTGCCCTTCTTCTCAACACACTTTTCCGATCATGTGACCAAAGAACTGAGTTTTGTCCCCTTCTCGTTGTTGTTTGTTTACAATGTTCTGCTTTTATTAGCCATTATTATTCTGTCTCATTTACCTCAAATGTAAGCCCATGATTTTGTGATACTGTTTAATCTTTCCCAGTAGTTCTCTAGTATTATTAATTATCATTGATGTTGTCATTGGTCCACATGTAAGAACCTAAAGTTATTTTAACTGCCTGCTCCTCAAAAAGTACTGAGGTCATATCTGTGCCATATAGACTTAATGTATGAGTGTGGGTAGTGTGTGTATGTGTATCCATCCACAAGTGTTTATGTCTGATATTCAACAGGTTTGGCCAGGGCCAAGTCTATACCAACGAAAACTTATTCAAACGAGGTTGTTACATTGTGGTATCGCCCACCGGATGTTCTGCTAGGCTCCACCGAATATTCGACACCAATAGACATGTGGTAGGTCCTCCGACTAAAGTGTATTATAATTTAACATAATTATTGACTATTATATATTATAATGTAACAGGGTTATTGACTATTATATATTATATATAATGTAACAGGGTTATTGACTATTATATATTATATATAATGTAACAGAGTTATTGACTATTATATATTATAATGTAACAGGGTTATTGACTATTATATATTATAATGTAACAGGGTTATTGACTATTATATATTATAATGTAACAGGGTTATTGACTATTATATATTATACATAATGTAACAGGGTTATTGACTATTATATATTAGATATAATGTAACAGGGTTATTGACTGCTATAAGTTCTAATCTAACAGTTATTTGCTATTACATATTGTAATGTAACAGTTAGGGAATGTTTTATATTATAATATAACAAGGTTATTGACTTTTATATGTTAATATCTAATAGTGTATTTGACTGTTATGCATTTAAATGTAACAGAGCTTTTAAATATAATGTAAAGCGGTTGACTGTATGTTATAATACAACAAAGTTTTTTACTATTATATATCATAAGGTAACAGAGTTATTTATTATCATATGATATGATGTAACAGTTACTTACTGCTATATATTATAATTAACATAATTATTTGCTGTTGCATATTATAATCTAACAGTTATTTACTATTATATATCATGATATAATAGTTAGGAAATGTTTTATTCTATAATATAACAGAACTATCAACTATTTTATATTATAATGGGTTATTGACTGCTATAAATTATAAAGCAACAGAGTTATTTACTATTATATACTATAATAAAATAGAGTTACTGTGGGAAAAGACTGAATCAGATGGGATAAAACCCAATGAAATTTAAATTGGTCTTTTCACTACTCTTCTTCATCTAGTGTTCCTTGATTCTGTGGCTCTTTGAATTAAGATAGGAAAAACATAAATTGTATACCATTAGCTGTTATTCATTAGTCAAGTTTCCAACATGGCTGTTTCATTCCTGTGCCAGTGGAAATAACACAAAATGTCCTTCACTGTCACATTTGAAAACTAGTTTTTTAAAAATTGTCGGTCCTAGCAAAATCTTCAAGCTTGTACATGCAGAGTGAAATGCATACACTCCATTCTGAATGTAATCTACCACCTGTGGTTTTTTTCTGCATTCAGCAACAAATTGTATGCTCAACAACAACAAAATATTCCACACAAAATCTGCAGTTCACAGTGTTGCACCAAGCACTCAACTGGCTAAGGACCATGTTAGCCCAAAGTCAGGAAGTCAGTCATATTAACATAATAGGCATAAGTATGTGTTAGCCTTAACTCTTTGAGTCCCAGGGGGTTTAGCATCACAGGCCCAGGGGGTAGTAAAGAAAGTAATAAAATCGGCGCACCATGCGTTCATTGGGCTTCTAGGTAGGAACCTGTGAACGTATGATACGTTCCTTGGGACTCAAAGAGTTAATGAACAAATTGCAATAAACAAAATAAATTGCAGTGATTAGCCTGCATCAGTAAAATTAGGAAGAGAAACAAAATGCAGCCACAAAATTAACTCTAAAATGGCTACATTGTGCTATTCGAATATTGTGTAGAACAAATATAACAAAATAAAAATGATAAACAACAGAAGGATATAAAACAGATGATACTTACCTGGATTGCTGCACATTTTATAAAGGAAATAAATTAAACAGGCATCTCTCTTATAACAAACCAGGAGGTGGTTAGTGAAATCTGATCTTCCTCGTCTTCTTCTGTGTTCATACACAGACATAAAAGCATTGTGCCCATTTACAACATGGCTGCAATATTTGTGCATTTTGGCCGACTTCTGCAGGCCTTTGTTGATCGGGTTAGCCTTCCAGATGAAATCTGATTGGTTCTTCTTCTGCTTCGCATTCACCAGCTGAAAACTCTGGTGGAAAATTTCTGGCTGTTCATCCGCTTCTGAACTTTGGCCATGTTCCAGAACTTGAGTCTTACATACACATCAATCTTACACATCAGACTTATTTGTGTGCAGACTGTTTGTTCCCCACCTCTCAGGCAGATGTACTCTTAACTTCAGAGGATACACCCATTCATTAGTTTACTTTTAGGACATGCTTTCTAGGGTGCAGTGAGCTGTTCTTTTGTCCCCCAAAATAGAGCCCTGGAACCTGCATATGGAGTCTGATCAGTGAAAGTGAAGAGTGCTATTGACTGATATAAGTTCACCCCCCACAAGGACATCACACTGATAATAAACACCATAAAATGCCACCATTCGAATAAGGAATACCCAGAGGCAGGTCCCAGAAACCCAATTCAACCCATAGGTTGGGTTATATTAGACCCCCTGAAAACAGCCAGAGTGGGGCTTTAAAACAAAAAATTGCGCCCGACCTTGGGACTAGTATTACTGGGAGTGTTTTTTTTATTTTTTATTATCCAGAAACTCTTTGGCTCGGTAATATGGATATCACAACCCTTCGGCCTTGATTCCATGATAGATACCATAAATCTGGGAGAAATGTGACTTTTGTGCCCATCCCCGAGCGTGAACTCAGACCACATGAGTACGTGTCACTGTGCAAAGGGTTTTAACCAGCTACACTAGTGAGCCAGGCTTGAGAGTGCAATCAACACTTTGAATTGGATTGTTAACAAAAATTGATTTTCATTCAAACACACACAAATCAAAAACTATTCCTCAGGGGTGTTGGCTGTATATTTTATGAGATGGCCTGTGGAAGACCATTGTTTCCGGGATCCACAGTGGATGATGAGCTTCATCTGATCTTCAAGACTCTTGGTCTGCCAACAGAAGAAACAATGCCTGGTGTTAGCAAAAACCAGGACTTTGTCAACTACCAGTTCCCTCCCTTCCAAACCGATAGTCTTATCACTATAGCACCAAGGTCAGTCATCAGTTGTGTGTTTATGTTTTTATGTCAGTCATCAGTTGTGTGTATATGTTTTTATGTCAGTCATCAGTTGTGTGTATATGTTTTTATGTCAGTCATCAGTTGTGTGTATATGTTTTTATGTCAGTCATCAGTTGTGTGTATATGTTTTTATGTCAGTCATCAGTTGTGTGTATATGTTTTTATGTCAGTCATCAGTTGTGTGTATATGTTTTTATGTCAGTCATCAGTTGTGTGTTTATGTTTTTATGTCAGTCATCAGTTGTGTGTATATGTTTTTATGTCAGTCATCAGTTGTGTGTTTATGTTTTTATGTCAGTCATCAGTTGTGTGTATATGTTTTTATGTCAGTCATCAGTTGTGTGTTTATGTTTTTATGTCAGTCATCAGTTGTGTGTTTATGTTTTTATGTCAGTCATCAGTTGTGTGTATATGTTTTTATGTCAGTCATCAGTTGTGTGTATATGTTTTTTATGTCAGTCATCAGTTGTGTGTATATGTTTTTTTATGTCAGTCATCAGTTGTGTGTTTATGTTTTTTTTATGTCAGTCATAAGTTGTGTGTATATGTTTTTTATGTCAGTCATCAGTTGTGTGTTTATGTTTTTTATGTCAGTCATCAGTTGTGTGTATATGTTTTTATGTCAGTCATCAGTTGTGTGTTTATGTTTTTATGTCAGTCATCAGTTGTGTGTTTATGTTTTTATGTCAGTCATCAGTTGTGTGTATATGTTTTTATGTCAGTCATCAGTTGTGTGTATATGTTTTTATGTCAGTCATCAGTTGTGTGTTTATGTTTTTTATGTCAGTCATCAGTTGTGTGTTTATGTTTTTATGTCAGTCATCAGTTGTGTGTTTATGTTTTTATGTCAGTCATCAGTTGTGTGTATATGTTTTTATGTCAGTCATCAGTTGTGTGTTTATGTTTTTATGTCAGTCATCAGTTGTGTGTTTATGTTTTTATGTCAGTCATCAGTTGTGTGTTTATGTTTTTATGTCAGTCATCAGTTGTGTGTTTATGTTTTTATGTCAGTCATCAGTTGTGTGTTTATGTTTTTATATCAGTCATCAGTTGTGTGTAAATGTTTTTATGTCAGTCATCAGTTGTGTGTTTATGTTTTTATGTCAGTCATCAGTTGTGTGTATATTTTTTAATGTTTATTTATTGCTCAGTCTTTATTGTAATTTTTTTTTAATGATAATTATTTATTGCTTTCTCTACTATTTGTAGTATAGTAGTACAACAGCAGCAACAGCAGCAGCAGCAGTAGTAGTTGAAACATTGAAATCCTGTTCACCCCATGTAGATTATAATTGGGATGAATAGATTTCTTTTTTTTTTTTTTTTCAGTTTTGATCTTTCTCTCTTGCACTTTCTTTATTGTTTCTTCTATTATTTTTTTTAAAATCACTTTTCAGAATTGCTCCTTCTGTGCTTTTTTTTTTTTTATTGGTCCTTTCTTATTCATCATCATCATTGTCAGCAGCACATTTCTTATTGTTCTTTCATTATTTCTTTAGTTAGGGTTTTTTCTATTTAAATAATAAATGAATAAACGAGAAGTTGCCGGTACTCATCACTAAGTTTCAGGGAAATAAAATGGTGCAGATACTCACCACACAATGTCTGTGCTGCTACAGCTGTGCTGACAAACTCATGCCTCAAAAAGGTGTTGGTACTGTGTACCACCTCAAGAAAGCCTTGGCTTCAGTTATATAGCTACCCCTGTGTTGATTTTATTGTGCTGTCTTAACTGTTCAGTTATCTTCCTCCTTCTGTATTGCTCTTTCTTTATTGTGATTTCTCTATAATTTTTTTTTTAATACAATGGCTAAATAACAAAGGGCCCTCTTCCCCGAGTTCAGGCCCATTGGGCATACAGGGCTAGACCTATTTTTTTTATAGACCATTAGGTACTTGGTTGGTCATGTGATCACCATCACGCTGGCCACCTTTACTTCTCAGGACTTGACCTGGTACCCATTTAAGGCTGGGAAAACCTATGAATCAAGGTCGTTTTTTGGACAAAAGTGCAGCTTTATTCTGATTTGAATCAATTACCTTCTGATCCTTAAACCAGTGTCGAACAGCTATACTGTGTTGGCTCCCATTGACCACATACATTTTTTTTAATGAGTTCTTGTTGGTTGTTACACTCATTTTTAACTGGACAAAGTAATTTCGTCCACTTCTATTTAATGTGTATCTAACCATGAGGAGTCGTGTCAACCAACATAAGACTGGACTATCAACCGCGGGATACTGATGTATAAGCTGAAGGGGGAATCTGAGCACCTATGGACATGTCCTGAGTGCCGTGAAGTTAACCCAAATCATAACTCATAACTTAATGTGTATCTACCAATTATTATAACGAATGAATAATTTTTAACAATGTTAAATTTTTTTTTTTTTCAGATTGGATTCTGATGGCTTGGATTTATTAGCCAAATACTTAAAGGTAAGTAAACTACGTTAGTTCCACCTCTGATGCTACTAGTAGCAGGAGCAGTCCCCTTGTACATCTCTCTTGCCTTTCTCGTGATTTTTGAAGTTCAGAGCCAGACAGAACAGTCATTTTTGTATGTGTCCTTTCTTATTCATCATCATGATTATCAGTAACACCTTTCTTATTGTTCTTTCTTTATTTCTTCAGTCAAAAACAAAATGTAATTAATTTTCCAGTTTGGGTAGCAGTTTTGAAAGTCAGAGAAACACATTTCAATTGAAACACATTTAAATTCTAATGTGTGCTTTTTTTTTTGCCTTCACCTTCAACATATGCCAGTGTTGGTTAAATCGGGTTTAATACTTAGGGGGGAAAAAAGTGCAAATTTACTGTTCAGTTTTGTCTTTAATGCAATGACATGAACGAGTGCAACCAAATTTCAGCCTTAACACACCTTTATATTCTTGCTAGCAATATCTTCAAATCTGATTTGGAATGAAAAATTGCTTGATCATACACACACATGCATGCATACACACACAAATAGCACCAACCTATAAATAAGTACCTACTTGGTCAGGCTAACAGTTACCATTATACAGACAAAATTTTCCACCTTTAAATTTCACTTAAAATTTCACAACTTTACTTATCAACTGCACCTTGATGAATTCAGGTAGAGAATCGGTCGCAGCTCAAGACAAATACAAGGACAATTCTTAGCCCACTGCGATTGACACTTTATGAAATACAAAACACATCTGAATGTAAAACAAATATTAAACTCTTTACAATAGTGACGAGAGAAGAACTTAAATACCAGCATGCTTTCTTTAAAAATTTCAAAATTTCTAGCCAACTTTTCTTGATTATTGCGGCGGCACGCCTTTCATACTCTCTAGCGGAACCTAGTTTAAGAACCTCTGAGTTAGAAAACCACTAAATAGATAGAGCCAACGTGAAATGCATTTGGAAACAAACGTCTTATGAAATTGATGAACATTTTGATGGGATTCAGGAAAGGTGAAGAAATAAGAGAGTGTCTGGACAACAACAAGTATCAACAGGTATAGGACCAAGAAGATAGCACCGTATTGTGCACACACTGAAAAAAGATAAATATAGACTCCTCAGTGAGAACCTGAAATGAGTAACAAAAGGATTGAGGAATTGAGAATGTCTAAGATACACCCTAAAACGAACATTAATTAGAGGGTGCTTTATTAATATCCTACCCCAAACAGGGGAAATCCACAGGTCACGGAACAGTCTAATATTTCAGGGGGTGGTAGATAGGCTGCATGCAGTTATGGGACCTAGGTTGCACTCTCTCGTGGGACGTAGGTGGGTTGAGGTTAGGGCCAGTTCTAGATGTTTTAGAGTCATTAAAAGCATCAGAAAGCCGGAAAACCCAGTGTTACCACCCTCTAAAATGTTGGACTATCTTGTGATGTCATCAGGGGTAAGATATTAATAAAGTACTGATGAGAGAAACCAATTGTGCTAGACAGGATTCCATCCCTGATACCAAAAGGATACTGTCTGTCCATGATATCAGAAATATTTCCTACTGTATATTGGAATGAAAGACTAAATTATGAGCCCTATGTGACATAACTTGGCATATAGAATGATTAGGATAGTTCTTCTTCTTCTTCTTTCATTCATTTGAAATAATCTTTATCTGCAATGCTGTTTCTAGTATGAACTTCACTGCTTTTATAATTCACTTATGGGCCAGTAAAGTTTGGCCTCCATCAGCGTCTCACTTGGCCAGAAGTTTTGCCTGGAAATGTTGAATTTGGGACAGACTTGGAGGATGTGATCTGTTGTTTCTAGTGCCAATCCACATGTGCACATGGCTGATTCACCTTGCTGACAAATTTATCATTTTTATAATGGATGTAACATTTCTAACAAAGCTAAGAAGAGCAATCCAGATTCTATTAGAGAGGCAAGGGTTCTGAGACAACTTATCATAAATATCAGATAGAAACAGTCATCAGTATTTTTTGGTCGTGTTATGAGAATAGGGACACAGAACATGTTGTGACAACTGGAAAGCTCTGTAAAAAGAGAGACAGCAGAAGACACCGCAAGAAGATTCTTTACAGCCCTTTGTCATGGCATGGAAGGGTGAAACTGATAAACACAGTTGCAGATCGCAGACTGTAAAGCACTTGACAATGATGAACATTTCTTGATATTTTCCCTTAACAGTATTTCCTTATGTTTTCCCTCATGAATATTACTTGATATTTGATTCCACCAGTACAATCCTTTGATTCGGATATCAGCTTCTGATGCCATGAAACATTCATTCTTTGATTGTCTGGGACCAGCTGTGCACAAACTTCCTGACAGTGAGTTTGTTGATGGTTGTTTTTAAAAAAAAAAACAAGTTTTGTTTCATTACACACATGAAATAAATATCTGAGTTGGGTTTTTAGTAACATTACAGAACATGATAAAGCATTTAGCTCTTCTTCTTCTTCTTCTTCTTCTTCTTCTTCTTCTTCTTATTATTATTATTATTATTATTATTATTATTATTATTATTATTATTATTATTTTTTTTTTTTTTTTTTTCAGCAATCTGTTCTATCCCAATATCTCCAGCCAAACAGACCTAGGCTGCACTATCTTATCAGACGTAGGTGGGTTGGGGTTAGTCCCAGTTTTAAATGTTTTAGGGTATTTAAAGGCATCAGAAAGTCCTGTGATGTCATCCTGGGGAGGGGTGGATATTGGGAAGGCACCCAGCAATCTTTGGTCTTGGGATTAACACACTGTTGGCCTTAAACGGGATGTCAACACAAGGTCTCTTAGGCTCCCAAAGCTTAGTTGTCAGATCTACTAGGTGTGGCCACATAATTTTTGCAGCTTCTCCATCTGGCTCATAGCTAATTTAAAAGAGTGTTAGTTGAGTCTGCATGTCAGAAGTGAATGGAATCCAATTGCAGATGCTGCCATATATAATCCTTATATGTACTCATTTTTCTTCTGCCTTTTATTTTCCTTGGTGCACCACTTGGTGGTGAATTGATATATGACAAGTTAGATATTGTCAGGGCCCTTTGGGAGCGGGTGAACAGTGCAGAGATGCAGATAGATCATTACGGTCTAAGGAGAGTGGCGCTGCAAGGAGTTACTATTGGATCTGGCCGATACTCAACACTCAAGAGAAGGATGACACAGATATACAATCAGACGGTTACTGGTACCATTGAAACTTTAACTCTTTGCTTGCTGCTAAAAATAGGGACTGAGCACTTATGGGAGTGTCCTGAGTGCTGTGATGTCAATTCTTAATTCAACATTCAACCTTCCATGGAACCTAGACTCTGATATGTCATGCCAAGTCCTGTGTAGACAGTTGGGTTTATAAATAAAATCAATAGATGGACTCTTTTCATACCTTAGCCACATTAGTTAGTTAGTTCTGTATCCTTTACAGGAGGTTGTAGAACCAACCCCAGCATTTTTTTTTTTTTGCTGTTGTTTTTCTAGGCAAAGTTTATGTTCAGTGGTTTGCCATTTCTTTCTAAACAGTCAGCTTGCGGTTCCACTGTTAAAACCGACGCAAGACAAATCAGACCTGTTGATAATTGTTTTCTTTTTCTGCATTTACCTTTATAAAGGTGGTTTGCATGTTGTTTGTGTTGTGGTTTACAACTAGGCTGTGATATCTACGTCTTTTGGCCCAACACACCCAATTTCAGCAGATCCTTAATTAATGACCTTTATGACATGCTTGTTGAGGAGCAGTGGCTCTACCCCCCCCCCCCCCCCCCCCCCCCCCCCCCCCCCCCCCCCCCCCCCCCCCCCCCCCCCCCCCCCCCCCCCCCCCCCCCCTCTCCCTTCGCCCTCACCCCCCCCCCCCCCCCCCCCCCCCCCCACTTCACCCCGAATGGGGTTCTGAAGTTAGTTAATTATTACGATAATGAGAATAAACCAGGCAAACAGGAATCTGGTTTGTCACTCAAAGATATGCAGTCATACACCTATTTGAGCAGTAATGTAGATAAAGATGGGGGGAACTGATAGAGATATCTTTTAGAGATACACAGCCAGGCAACCAAATAATCACTCTGATGGGACCATACATATATTTTGATTTCAAAGAAATACATAATTTTTGGAACACTAAAATATATGTTTGTTTATTTCATCTGTACAGTTTCTAAAATATATGGAACATTTATATGAATGTGTGTTTATTTCAGCTGTTTCCGTGTACACAGTTTCTGGTTTATCTCTTCATCGTGACCCTGGCATTAGATCGTCATCATTAGCTACAATAGGTAATTTGATTTTACAGTCATTGTAGTTTATTCAGATCTTGAAGTTACTGTATTTCCCCAAGTATAAGACGATCTTGAAGCTACTGTATTTCCCCAAGTAAGACGATTTTGATATTACTGTATTTCCCCAAGAGTAAGACGATCTTGAAGTTACTGTATTTCCCCAAGTATAAGACGATCTTGAAGCTACTGTATTTTCCCAAGTAAGACGATTTTGATATTACTGTATTTCCCCAAGTAAGACGATTTTGATATTACTGTATTTCCCCAAGAGTAAGACGATCTTGAAGTTACTGTATTTCCCCAAGTATAAGACGATCTTGAAGCTATTGTATTTCCCCAAGTAAGACGATTTTGATATTACTGTATTTCCCCAAGAGTAAGACGATCTTGAAGTTACTGTATTTCCCCAAATATAACATGGTCTTGAAGTTACTATATTTCCCCAAGTATAACATGGTCTTGAAGTTACTATATTTCCCAAAGAATAAGACAATCTTGAAGTTACTATATTTCCCCAAGTATAACATGGTCTTGAAGTTACTATATTTAACCAAGAATAAGACGATCTTGAAGTTACTGTAATTCCCCAAATATAAGATGATCTTGAAGTTACTATATTTCCCCAAGTATAAGACAATCTTGAAGTTACTATATTTCCCCAAGTATAAGGTGATCTTTAAGTTACTTTGTTTCCCCAAGTATAAGACGATCTTGAAGTTACTGTGTTTCCCCAAGTAAAAGACGATTTTGAAGTTACTGTATTTCCCTAAGTACACGACGATCTTGAAGTTACTGTATTTCCCCAAGTATAAGACAATCTTGAAGTTACTGTATTTCCCCAAGTATAAGACAATCTTGAAGTTACTGTATTTCTCCAAGTATAAGGCGATCTTGAAGTTACTGTGTTTCCCTAAGTATAAGACGATCCCATGTATAATATTCACCTTTATTTTGGAGCCATAAATTTAAAAAAATGACTCAGCCTTGAGTGGGTACCAGGTACAAAACCTGAGAAGTTAAGTTGGCCGGCTTAATTCTGACCACATCACACATCAAGTGTCGATAGGTCTATAAAATATAGGTCTAGTACTATAAGCTCACACACCTGAAGTACGGAAAAGGGCCTTTTAGAATGTGTAGGTGGAAATTTTCTGACTGCTGACACTGAATACCAAGGGGTCTATGACAATATCATAGGTTCATTCATTCATTCATATGGTGGCATTAATACAGTGATAGTCTGATCCATTGATTTGACCCTAGTCCTTCAGGCCAGAAGCACCTAGCCTCTCCACTGTCGTAACACCTTTTCAAAGTTTAGGTGACCTGAATATCAGTTTATCACATTTGGGCTGCTAAGGGAAGATTTGCCTTACCATCATAAGACTTACAGGGGAACAGGCCAACAAAGCAGATCCCAGATAACCTGTTCAACTCAACCTCTAGAGAAGTTATAATGAAGGCTCATGTAGGGACTATCCCACCAGGTGTAACCTGCAGTCCTGTATGAGCAAGAATGTATGAATGATAGTGAGTGACATTCAGCCCCACCAGGACATCACACCGAGCGATTAACACCCGGTGACACAAAGTGCCACCATTAAGATGAGGATCACCCGGGGACAGCCAGGGTGAAGGCTTTAAAACCGCAACAAATTGTGACAAACATTGGGACACAGTTATATATTTTAGTATTTAAATGGTAGCTTGTGTCTTGATTATAGACATATATATTTATTATTAGTCTCATTTTGGTTTACAAATTTCTCATCCTCAGGCAAACACAGAAGGCAGAGTATGCTATTTTGAAATATAAACATACAAATTAAACAACCTTGAGAACCAGTCTTGTTCGCAGAAGTCAACAATCTGCATCAGTGTGTAGGGAAAATAAAGGACAAATTGATTCATATTTTAGCAAATACAAAAATTTGTATTATTATTATAGTACCTGACATTTGAACACAACATTGAGAAACATCAATCAACCAGTCAATCAGATACCATATCCTTAGTGAATTTGGATGTAATGAATCTCCAGTATTCTCTGCTTCTTATCTTGATAGTACACTCTCACAGACTGCTGTTGGTTCACCTCCTAAAGTTGTGCTCACACCTGTATCACTGTTTAGTTCTTGCTTTCTTGCCTCAACTTTTCATTCTTGTATGATTTATAAAAGAGTTATGTTCTTGAATGTCCCCCTCTGTGGCTTAGGTGTTGCGAACGCGCTTTGTAATGCCAGGGTGCCGGGTTCAATCCCTGCTGCGGAGGGTTTGTCTTGCGATGGTTTCGACTGTAGTACCGAGAACTGACCATCCAGAAAGCAATGGCAAACTACTGAACGTAAATTTGCCTAGAAAAACCACAACAGCCAGAAAGTGCTGGGGTTGGTTCTGCAACATCCTGTAAAGGATACACAACTATGCATATGCGTATGTTCTTGAATGTGTCTGTATTTGTAAGTGTTATATTTCAGTTTGTTAAAATATGAATTCCACTGACTGCAACTTCTGGTAATCTGGTAATCCTAGTTTCAGCATCATAGCAAACGGGTCACCCCATTGTTGCTCCGCTCCTGTGCCAACGAAAAACACTCGTAGCTCACAGTGTCACACCATGCACTCAACTCAGAAGCTGGGTGACGAAACTATATCCTTCCAGTCTACAAATGGAGCAAAAATGCAACGGCCACGCCTGGCAAAAAAAAAAAAAAAAAAAAAGTGGCCGTGCCTAGCGTCCACTGTGACTTGAAGCATTATGTGAGGGGTTAACAAATGGTCACCCCAGCAGTACCCTCACTATTAGCTGGGAAAGGGACTTAGGACATTACATCCACCAGCAGGCGTCGCCCCTACAACGACCTGACTGCCTTCGTTAACGACTGTTCACCCAACAGCCATGCAGTTCTTTGGCACGAAGGAGACACCTTGAACTTGGGTTTCGGAATGCCGACTTCCTACAAAATGTTATTTTGTGTTTTGTTATCACAATCGACGTCACTGCACATTGGGCATACCCATGCGTGCGCAGTCCTCCGAAGCAGCAGCCACTCCAAAGTACTTCTACTAATTGTCCCCATGAGAAGCTGGTTATATTGTCTCCTTTCTCGGCCTCGCAGACGGCAAAGACGTGCTTCACCATGCTTAACTCCCATGTCACGCAATCGTGTTAGTGTCAGGGATTCGATATTATCCACTAGCCCAGTACGTACAGCGTTAACGATATCTGCTCTGTCCATGCTTTTTCCCGCAATCATTAGTGCAGTGCTTGCCAGTTGGTCCGCTCGCTCATTTCCCTTTACGCCCGCATGACCCGGTGTGTAGATCCAGGTTACGGAAGTTAAGTGCGATTTCCGAATGCTTTCTATCTATTCAGAGCGCATACTGCCTGTTGCTATTTTCTGAAGCATATTCATTGAGTCTGAGACAATTACTGCTTGTGTGGCGGTTTGCTCGGATACCCATGCTAAAGCTCTAGAAGCAGCGGCTATTTCCATGGTCATGCTTGACGTGGTTGTCTGGTAAGCGCCGCTGTCCTCATGTATTGTTTTCCCCCTTCTTTGCGCTGTGTGTGCCCATGCTGACCTTGATCCGCGCTTCACGGACCCATCTGTGTAGATGATGATATCTTCTGGGTCTGAATGCTGATCTATCAGTTCCCTTACTTCTGTGTCTATGGCCGCAGGAATCTGATCCCGACTGTACCTTCCTAGTGTGATGACAACCTTAGAGATGCCATGCATGTCTACTGGTGTATTCATCCATTTTTTTCCGTGCCTGATAACGCGTAGGTCACATACCTGCTGGATCAAATTCTCAGCCTTTGCCATCCAAGAGCAGCCTCTTTTGAGACGCGTTCCTTTTGTGTCGTATATAGCTTTGTGCAATGGGTGGTTAGCGTCTGCCGATACCCTCATGTAAGCCTTGACTTGTGCCACTTTGTATCTGCTAGTCATCGTCGGCAACCCAGGACATAACGCATGGCGTTGCAGGAGGTGTCTTTTGTGCAGCCGAGTATGAGTCTCATGGCCTCATTTTGTACTCGGTCCAGTCTTTCTAGCTGGGTTTTGCTGACAGTGAGGAGGCCAAGACCATAGTCAATGACGCTAAGCACAAGCCCTTGATAGAGAAGGAAAAGTAGGCGTTGTTCAATATCAGCTGCTGCTAGCACCTTGAGTGCTGTCAGACCTTTTCTGGCTCTAAGTATGACGTTGTCTACGTGGCATTTGTATGACAAGCATCTGTCAAATGTCATACCCAGGTATTTCATGGTGTCCGTTCTCTCGATGTCCACACCACATATGCTTACGACTGGCGTTGGTGTACTCAGGATGTGGGTATTCAGAGAGAACCCTGTTAAGGAGGCTTTGGACGGGTTCACTTAAGCTCTTGATTCCTGGCACCACTCACTAAGTCTGTCTAGTTCGTGTTGTAGTGTGGTTGTAATTTCCTGCCTGTTTCTACCTCGACGGTAAACAAGGATATCATCTGCATACGACATTGTTCTACCTAGACCTACGCTTTGTGCACTAGTGACTCCTGCTGTGTACACGTTGAATAGCACAGGCGACAGTGGTGATCCCTGTGGCAGACCCATTAGGACTCGTTGAGGTTCGGATGCCCATTTACCACATCGAAGCGACACTGTTCTTTCAAAAAACGCTGCTGCGATCCAGTTGACCAACTTTGTCTCTATCTGCATATTCAACAGCAGTCTGATGAGCATGTTGTATGGGACGCTGTTGTACGCATCTTCTAAGTCAATAGCGGCTGCAGCAGTTTCCATTCCCTCCTGGAAACCCTCATATGTGTCGTAAGCAAATACTGCAGCATTGCACCATGTATCTCTTCCTGGTCGGTAACCACCTAGTGTAGCGGGGAATAGACCACCCGACTCTAATTTTTGGGTTAACGTTCTGGCAACGATTTTTTTCCATGAGTTTTTCCTACCGTGTTCTGAAGTGTTATGATCCTATAGCCATTTATTCTCGTGTGGTCTTTTCCTGGCTTAGGAACTGGTCTGAGATAGCTGTGGAGCCAGTCATCAGGAATAATGCCAGTTTTCATGGTGTTGTTAAAAATCGTGGATAGTTCATCCATATCTGTCATATCGAGGCTTTTGAAGTCGCTGTATCTAATGCCATCAGGACCTGGAGCTGTGTCTGGACAGGTCTTCAGTGTTGCTTTGATGCAGTCCGTTGAGATGTATACTGTATCATCGTCTTCCTCGATTTCAGCCATCTGGATATCATGTAAACTCTGTTTCATCTGCTCCCTATCTTTCCTGTCTTTCTTTTCCGTCTGCAGGAGAAATCTGTGCAGGATAGCCTCCCCCTTTGTCTTTATCCGATTTTAACACCACCCCGTTGTCCATCTTTAGCTCGGGCATAACAGAGGTTTGTTTGCCTCCGTTCATCTTTTGGTGGAGCCGCCAGAATTTTCTGAGAGCTTTTCGTAACCTATTTCTTGACAAAAATGTTCCCACATTGTGTGCTTAGACTCCTTTGCGAGTTGTTTAAAATGTTCAGTGAGTCTGTCTTTTTTGTGTTTAACGTCTTGTTTCTGCGCCTCAGTAAAATTCGAAGACTTTCTTCATTTCTCCCAGTCTTTGGTGGCACCTCGTTTCTCTGCCCAGGCTTCTGCGACTTCAGGAGTCCACCATGGGGGTTGTTGAAAGATAGCTTTCTTCTTTCCCGGTGTTCTGCGTGACCTGTCTCGCAGACGCCCAATTACATCAGGCTGATTTGCAGCATACTGGAAAGAAGTGGCTGGTCTCTGATACCTTGTGCAGATTGTTTTTTTGACCAGAATCCAACATGGAAGGTGGTCGCTTCCATGATGTCCCAGTACGCCCCACTGGCAAAGTGCACTCATACTGGGAGAGACCAGCGTGAGATCAAGGGCACTGTCAGTATCACCTTCTCTGTCGGGGATTCTAGTGGGTCTGCCATCATTCAAGCAGATTAAATCCGTGTCTGTTAGTGCTTCCTCCAGTGCCTCGCCCTGTTTATTGACCGTCAGATTGCCCATAGACGCCCTTTGGCATTGAAGTCCCCACACATAATGATGTGTCGGTGGTTATCTGCTCGCATATGTCACTTAGAATTGTCCACTTTTCTTTGTCAACTTTATCATTACAGGCATAGATGTTGATTAGTGTGAAAGGTTTACTTCCGTCTACCTTTACGGCCTGAACCTGAATTTTGTTTGTTGTTCCATGCACTCGTGTCTACAACTGAGGATGTTATTCCGCGCCTGACCAGGATCGCTTGGCCTAGGTGTTTTACTGTTGTAGTACGTTTGGAAGCCTGAGACATTCAGAGCTTCTTCTGTATTCAGCCGGGTCTCCTGAAGTGCGATTACATCGGCATCATATATCAGTTTCTCCAAGATTGGGCCTCTCTGTCGAACACTACTCCTGCAGTTTCCAGCAAAGATGCTGAGATTTCCCTTTGCCAAGGCGTTCTGATTTAGATTGGTTTTTGCGTGCACCAGCACGTCTATTGCGCCGTTTTCTACCATGTTGTCCTCTTTTCCTTCTGTAGCGTGTAGATGCTGCTGCATCGGATCTCAGTACGGACGCACGAAATCCGTAGCTCTGACGAGGATTGAGTTCATCAAAAATGTCTACCATATTTAATTAGTGAGAGTTTATTAACGTTACCCCAGTGGTGCCGTCGTGCTGAGGAAGGGGCCAGAGACGTAACGCCCATCAGCACAGTGTCGCCCCTGTACGACATAACTATGTGTGTGTAGCCTGATGAGATGTCATCGCAAAGAAAGGGGTACTATTTGTAAAAATAGAACTC